CCTATCTCATCCATACTATTGCCATCTTCTCCTAAACAGGATATCATTGTCTTCATAATTTGTATTTGACGTCTGACGATGTCCTCTTGTAAGTCGGGAAGGTCTGGTGTGTTATGGTTAGGCTATCAGTGGCTTATAAGCCGGACAAGCAGTCAAGGTCTGATTGGAATTTACGAAGATTCAACGGAGCGCTATGATCAATTATCGATTATGGGTTTATCGTCAATGTCAAACACAAACAGCAATCTGGACGAAATCGCATGTTACTGTCGATGTAATCACACGCAAAAACAGTCTAGACTTGGTCACTTGTTTGTGTCGTCACTATCACAGGTATCTTGTGACTGCACTCTAGACTTGGTCACTTGTTTGTGTCGTCACTATTACAGGTATCTTGTGACTGCACTCTAGATTTGGTCACTTGTTTGTGTCGTCACTATCACAGGTATCTTGTGACTGCACTCTAGACTTGGTCACTTGTTTGTGTCGTCACTATCATAGGTTTCTTGATTACTTCAGTCCCGACTTGTTCATGGTCACGGAAGATCTTGATTCGAGAACGAATGTGAAACGTCCTAATTACAGGCATGATAAATTCACGTGCTCCTATTGTCACTGTCACATAAAAATGTAGTTAGGTCTCAATCACGTTATATAAATTTTTCTGCCGATCTATACGTTTCAATAACATGAATTGTGAGTCAGTTTATGAACATATATATATAGCAATTTGTTTATTAACGGAGGGAATTGCCTTGTTCATAATTGACATCAGAAGCTAGCTTATAGGAGGAAAAATGGGAGAACCAAATGTCCATTTGTTTCTGATAGCGTTAATTCTAGGCAGGACGTTAGCCTAGTTTGTGCGTGTTTGTATATGAGATACTTTAGTCAAACAATGTTTTTGATTTCTACTTGGGCAGCTCAAGGTCTTTACGGCCAAAGAGTTGTTATCGCCAACTTGACATAACATAAGTGACCGTAAATGGTCATTAGCCATTTTTTTTATTAATTATAGATTGTTCATGTGTATATTTTTTAAAAAGCGTGGTTATACCAGAGTATAACTGACGATAGTTGACAGTGTATTAGTGTCACCTTTACCTCGACTGTGGTGACTGTAATCGGGACGGTAAACAGGGGCGGAGTGATATTCCTCAGGATTGCACTTAAAATAAAATCAGCACTGACAGGTTTAATAATATTTGTGTGCTGATCATTTATCTCAATTTGTTGACGAATTCAATATTTTCACAGGATTTACAATCTAGCAATAGGTCTGTATATGTTTCTGGCATTGCCCTGGACCTTACCAGAGCAAACTGTGTATTTATTGACCCACCAATATGTATAGTTCAATTGGTTCTGTGTTTGACCACAGAGATGCTGTTGACTTTGGCTAAGCAATGACACACATGTTAACAATAAAACGCTACAAGACCAATTTGTTTGCGTACGACTTAAATTTTGCCACGACTCGGTTAGTTTTGTGCCTATGTCCCCTCCCCACCGTTTTCCTAAACGACAAACTTAAACAGGATTTAGGATAATTTTGCGCTGTGCCAATAGACTACCATTTACTCAAGCTCGAGAAGGCCCTTCCGTGCATACACGGCCGTGACGAGTCAGCTCCGTAACGTATCTACCCCAGGTAAACAGCGACGGTATTAAATGAATTTAATTAAGGCTTATATCCGGTTCCAATTTCAATGTCTTCCTTGCCACTGACCGGAGTGTAAACACGCGACGGGTAGAGTTACAAATACAAGAGCCTAGTGATATTTTGTCTAAATTCAACCTTTTTAATTGACATGAATACATTCTTTAGAAAAGTGTTTAACCGGGTAAAATTACAGAAACTATATATTAAGAATTTAATATACAAACAGTTGAAACCAAAAACCATCAACATGTGTAAGTGGTGTTTATACGTATACAGAAAATCTCAAACTCATACAGTTTTCAGATTTTGTTTTTATTTTCTCTATCTCCATGTTTTTCCCAATGCAAAGCAGTATACTTTTATATTAAATATTAAAAAAAAAATGATGGTATTATCTGATGCTGATTTGTTTACAAAATGAACTATGTCGATATTCATCCAAAATTCCATCACAGTAGAAAAAGATCATACTTGTGGCAAGTTATAAAACTATACATGAAGGTACTTTTCGTCAATCACACATATTTTTCAATATTACATTTAGTTATAAAGCAAACATGATTAAAATTATATTTGGAATAAAAAGTTATTTCAAAGACATGGATTGAAATGAACTACAAATGTAATTTCCCGTGATAAAAAAGACGATTCTTATTACAATAAAAATCAAATAATCCGTGTTGTACTTCATATAAATAAAACGAAAAACAGGTTATATGGCCAGGCTGCACACAAAGCAGTTGAACAGTATCAAAAGACAATAGGCTTTTGCATGGAGAACATGCGGATTACAAGGAAGTGATGTTTGCCGAAGACTATCCAGTTTTGTTCATTGTGGCCTGGGAGAGACAAGTCAGATGGAGTGACGGAGCCCGTGGGATCAATGTTAACACATACAAGTGGGTTGGGAAAAGACTTTATCAGTCTGTCCAGGGGTCTGATATCCGCACAGGGACGTAACAATACGGAGCGAGATTTGTGACATGTCCACCACAGCATTACGTAACAGGGATTGTTCTGACCTGTCAAAAACGAATACGAGTACTGTGAGAATCGCACCTTTTTTATCTATCAAGAAAAGAAAATAAATAAAGATTTAGGATTAAAGAGTTTACTCTCAGTCTTTTGTTTGTGTTTAGAGGGTATTTTATCTATATATACTACCTACATAAATGTATACTCAGTACTTGACAAAAGAACTAAAAGAATGGTGTTCTGTGTCCGGATTATCTCCCGGCTAATTGAATCAGTCAGATTGTTTGAACCCAAACACCTCCGTGCAATAATTCGTATCACAGACTGACCTTCAGGTATTCTTGTAATTAAACCCAATAATTATAGCGGACATAATATCCGGATTTTTCAGTTTTGTGAATATATAACATAGAATTTCATAAATGACGTTTTAAAATTAGGATTTTTTTAATTCCACGATGTTTTGTCAGCCTTCGATAAACATGATTTACAGGCATAATAGCACACTAAATCAAATACTGCAATGTTCATGGCAGGAAAGGAAAGGATACAGATAAAGCTTCCGTGTTTAATTCGTAAGTTAAGAATTACAATACATGAATGAAAGGTCTCCAAACAAACTTTTGATATGAAATTCATTTTGTCAAAATTTGAATGGTATCTCTTTTATCGGGTACGTGGAAGATTAAAACCTGATGACTGTTAACAGCTATATTAGAGAGATATAAAAAAAAGATAGAAAACTTATATTTTTCAACCAAAGTATAGCACTTTTTTAAACGAAAATATAGCATGTACTATCATTATACCAAAAAGTGTTTTCATCTAAAGAAAATTGGTGTCACAGGATTGTTTTTAAAATGACATACACACAATGCTTTCAGTAACTAAAATAAACTATATCTGAAGTATATACATTAAAATATTAGTATTGGTCTTATCATGTTCACACATCCCGAGCTCAGTTACATACAGGAAACAAGATAAACAGATGTCCGTTTCGTTATCAGGGAGTTTCGATACCGTGTGTTTTTACTGTAAATCGTGTTATTTTGTATCATCAGGTGTAAATACTTCGATTGTAGGTAGTAGGTATTTGAGAGAAAATACAAGCGTGATAGGATTTATATATGTATTTTATTAAACGAGGCTTGTCATAGATATTGATATCATTTCAAAGAGAAAATTAGAATATTAAACGATAATAGAACACGGATTACACAGGAATGAATGACAGTAATAAAAGTCAGTTATTGATAAAATTAGCCCTAATTATTCTGAAAGGATCATCGACTAGAACGTCGGAATAATTGTTAGGTTGTTTACATAATTTACATGGGTACATATAAAGTATATAGCAATTATCCAAATGCACAGTAATAAACACGTTTATGATGGAATGGTAGCTGTTTATAAAAGCATGGATATATGAATATAATAATGATTATTTTTTATAAAAAATGTGTTTAGTTTTGTTATCACCCGTAACTTTCAGTCAGATGTATTCTGTTTTTTATTGTGATATTGAAAATCCCTCCCCCTCTCCCCTCCCCCTCCGCTCTTTCTATCCCATTCCCCAGTTATATTGTATTAATATAAACGAATATCATTATCAACAACGAAGAATCTAACTGACCATAACACAATGTATATGAGAACTAAACAATCGGAGAATGTTAAAAAAAACCCCCAATATTAAATATTTTCAGCGACTCTTAACACGGGGATAGTAATGAAGGAAATATCAGTTGTCAGTGCATTAAGTTATCATTAACTTCAACTGTATCGCTTTATCTCTATAAACTCTTGGTCTGCTAATGTGTCTATTGTGTTTTTTAAGCGTGAATGCGCAACTTGGACTAACTCCGCCCATGAACGGGATTTAAAATCAGTAGTAGCGTTTGACACGGGTTATGATAGGCTGTTGGGCCGTAAACTTTAATAATGAATTAAGACAGTACACAGGTAAACAAAGTTGATTAACATGTCATAGAGGTAAATACTACACCGATCAGCATGTGTTCTACCGTGTGAGGCAGTGACGGCTGTCAGGCATCCCCGGGGGTGCGGCAGTTGGGAGGCGATACAGTGACAGTGAGAGATAAACCATCGCATTTATTGACGAAAGACTTGTCTCCTCCCCTTTTAATCGGAAAGGTGGGACTTAACGATTGTGTGTCAATAGTGAACGCCGCCCTGCGCATGCGCAATCCGTCTTTGAATCATAATTTGTTAAGAATGAAAGGTACACAATCGGTATGATGTGTTTGACCGACGAGATTGGTCCTTCACACAATAAAGTAGCTCTGAAGGGCTTGCAAAAACCCAAAGTGGAAGTCAGAATTACGTCCTGACATACGTTATGTCCCTCAGTCCACGGCCGCACACAACACCGTTTTCAGTAACAGACATTCTAAGTCCTATCGAGGAGACTTACAAGAGGACAACTATCGAGGCGAACATCCCTCCGCTTACCCCCTACAGGAACCACACCCAACACCCAACCCATCAGATGGGCAGCATGAGTGCCACCAACCCCTACCACACGGGATATGTGCCTCCCCTGTCCCATCACACACCAAGCTTCCCACCGCAGTACTGCAATGCCCCGGACTTTGGATACGGAGACCCGCGGACGTCTAGTGCTTCATGGTATAGCAATAACAGGGACGCTGGATTTACACGTAAGTACCAGTAATTAAGGGTCATTGTATTTGGTATAGGACATCGGCGAAATATCATCGTCACAGCAATGGTACTTAGGATTGGCTAAGAACGGTCAGCCCCTCTTAAGTGCAACCAAGATGAAACGTTTTAAGAAAGTTGGATAGTTGTTGACAAGCTTTAGCGAGAGATAAAAGTGCTTTGAATAGGGTAATAATAACGGAAAAATATAGAGATTCAATAACCCTAGGAGACTTGCTTGGAACCTAAATTGTCTTGTTTGAAAGTCTGGCATTCTATCGACAAGTGCTTTTTTGAGTATGTTTTTCTCTCCAGGCCTGTCCGAAACCAATATATATTAAACTCGTTCAACAATGTCCGCTTGACAGTTGAGATTCTGAAAACTCCTCGAGTTTTATCAGAGACATATTTTATCAGAGTTGTTCAAACAAAGGCTTGATACGTTATCATTAGATAATGCTGCCATGTGATTTTATATTTATTATGATCTTATTTTAAACGGATATAGGCTTAAGTTGACCACTTAATGTTCGCTCTAGATTATAAACTACGGGCCCTAATCATTACAAGACAGTTGTTAGATATATGATAATGTATTTTTTAGCAGGATTTAACAGTAAATTATTACTGCTTACTTACCCTGAAAAAACTGAGTACGAATTCTGTTACAACGTGTAGTCTCAATAACAGACGAAATGTGAAATATCTTACGTTTATTTTTCTTGTTGGCATTAACACACCTGAAGTAGAACGGGTATACGTTTACAACATTTTACCTGTTGTGGTTTTTACCCGGCTAGACACAGGTGTCCAGTACTCGCTTGACCAAGTAAATCCTAGCCTGGAGTATCGGAAGTGTCCGTAGAAACTTGTTATTACAATATTGACTAGTTTTATAAAAAAAATCTCTCACTTTGGTGTTCATCTAAGCTAATTATACGAATAATTTTAATCACGCAAGCATTTTTAGGATGAGGTTCATTAGGTAGAGCTTAAAACACAAATTTTTGGAATGATAGATGTGACGAATTTAATGTGTATTGTATAAGAATCAGTTAAATAATTCGACGGATAGTTTAGGTTATTCCTAGGATTTCTAATAACAAATTTCCGAGTGTATTATTGTTAAACATACTCCGAATATTATGCAAAATTGTAATCGGCAATGACGGAATTTCTAAGCTTTTCCTCGAAATTGTAAAGACTATTTTTTTCAATGTAATATACATATACCAATATACGTTTTAATCTTCTTGTTTTCTTATGGTAATAAGCTAGAAACAAGAAACATTGGTAAGATTTTCTACTTCTAAAAATCAAAGTGACATATTATAAGGTCAGGTTTCACCACTTTTACCTTATAACGCGTTTACCTCCCTAATCCTATTTTGAAGTTTAGAATTAAATCATGAACTAATAAAAAACAACTGTATCCTACATCCTTACTCACATACTTACCCAAAACATTTAAACAATTTCTTTATAGACGAAACATCACTGATCGTTCATAGAAATGATAACATTGTACCCGGAAAGGGAAGGAATCTAGCGCTATTTATTTGCTGTGATGTTTATTAACATATGTCGCTAGTCAACATCAATAATAGATCTATAGAGAGATTTCCAGCATAAATCATATTATAATATTTTCACAGTAGTTACAAAAACATGAAACATCAATGGCATTTATTTATGTAATTACTATTTAAACATATTTTATTATCAGAAACAAATAATTGGATCACAGACAAGTTCTAGCAACTTATGAACTCTTCTCCATCAATAAATTACAAATAATAAATATACTGCACGTGACACATATTTATACTATAAGCATGAAAAGATGTAATTCGTAGGCGTAAAATTGCAATTTTAAATATTTTTGTCAAAGGAGTAGAAGATAAGAAGACAGAAAGAACAGAAGGGGAAAAAAAGTATATACCTTCTATCAATTCAGTGCCGACTACAAACAGAATTGCCTTGTACATGCAAATTAGTATATATTATATTAAGTTACTAACAAATAATCTCATTTCTGGACACGTATTATTTTTTGAATATCAGTATAAGTATTCACACAGTCTGGAGATAATTATATTCAAATCTACTAGTTTTGCAGAATTTTGAAAATTTGCGAATGTAACAAAAATTATTTACAAAATTTTGTTTTCAGAAATATATGTCATCTTTTGATTCTAAATAAATAATAAACGGAGATTTTATTTTTGAAACAATGTTGAAATATAATAGAGAAAATGATTGAAAATCCCTTTGAATTATATTAATTCAGAAAATATAATATCTGTAATATTGAGAATAAAACACGAATCGACAAGCTATTATAATCAACCGTTTGATTATATCTAGGGTCATGGAAGAACTTTATTTTCTTTAATTCTTTTTCATAAAGTATCGATTTTTTTCTGTGGTATTGAGGTAATGTTGACTTTAGTGACTCTTATTGATGAGCTCCGTTGCGCAATTGATTTCACTATCATGGACTTGTTTAGGTTTAAAATCGTTTACAAGTGGAACCCAACAAAAAATCTTTACATCTGATATTGACGAACGTCTGGGTTGTACCCGACATAAGAGTGCACCGTCCCGATGTTTAAATTGTAATGGTAGATGTTGGATTAATGTGATCAGTAGACGGGTATGGTTACAAGTATTTGCAGTTTTGTGTCAATACTGACGGTTTTTACACTCAAAGCTGTTTCAGACAAGTGTACGTTCTGGGTGTAGCGTCACTCTCTCGATACTGGAACTGGGTAAAAAAAAAAAAAAATACAACACTTTAAATGCTCACAATCTTCTGATATCTCTAAATAAATATACCAATAACTTGGTCGTATCATAAAATACAGATGATCTGGGGTTGATATATAAGTTTATAACCCATAAACTTCAATATGACCGAATGTGTTGCTGGTAGTAAGACAAGCGGGAATTATTAGTGTGTTTGGCAGAAATAAAACCAAAAATTCTAAACCATTTACCATCACTGTGAGGAAAGTATACTGGTTCTATTTTGGCAAGTTAAAAAATACCTTCATGGAAACATCCCTATTAATATCATACTAAAGATAGAATAATACACGTGTCTCCAAATTAAACTAACGATAATGATGACAATTTTTGTAATAAAATTGAAAAATTCACCTATATCATACAATGATAAAATGATACATGCAATAATATTGAAAATTTGTATGCACATCACAGATGTTTTACCGGTGATATTAAGGACCTCATTTGATGTATAAGATACATTTTACCTGTAATATTGAGGACCTCATTTGATGTATAAGATACATTTTACCTGTAATATTAAGGATCTCATTTGATGTATAAAATACATTTTACCTGTAATATTAAGGACCTCATTTGATGTATAAACGTATTTTACAAGTAATATTAAGGACCTCATTTGATATATAAAGATATTTTACCTGTAATATTAAGGACCTCATTTGATGTATAAAATACATTTTACCTGTAATATTGAGGACCTCATTTGATGTATAAAATACATTTTATCTGTTATATTAAGGACCTCATTTGATATATAAAGATATTTTATCTGTAATATTAAGGACCTCATTTGATGTCTAAACCATATTTTACCGGTAATATTAAGGACCTCATTTGATGTATAAAGATATATTATCTGTAATATTAAGGACCTCATTTGATGCATAAAATACATTTTATCTGTAATATTAAGGACCTCATTTGATTTATAAACCATATTTTACCTGTAATATTAAGGATCTCATTTGATGTATAAAGATATTTTATCTATAATATTAAGGATCTCATTTGATGTATAAAATACATTTTACCTGTAATATTAAGGACCTCATTTGATATATAAAGATATTTTATCTGTAATATTAAGGACCTCATTTGATGTATAAAATACATTTTACCTGTAATATTAAGGACCTCATTTGATATATAAAGATATATTATCTGTAATATTAAGGACCTCATTTGATGTATAAACCATATTTTACCTGTAATATTAAGGACCTCATTTGATGTATAAAATACATTTTGTCTGTAATATTAAGGACCTCATTTGATATATAAAATACATTTTATCTGTAATATTAAGGACCTCATTTGATATATAAAGATATTTTATCTGTAATATTAAGGACCTCATTTGATGTATAAAATACATTTTATCTGTAATATTAAGGACCTCATTTGATATATAAAGATATTTTATCTGTAATATTAAGGATCTCATTTAATATATAAAGATATTTTATCTGTAATATTAAGGACCTAATTTGATGTATAAAATACATTTTAACTGTTATATTAAGGACCTCATTTGATATATTAAGATATTTTACCTGTAATATTAAGGACCTCATTTGATGTATAAGATACATTTTACCTGTAATATTGAGGACCTAATTTGATGTATAAAATACATTTTAACTGTTATATTAAGGACCTCATTTGATATATTAAGATATTTTACCTGTAATATTAAGGACCTCATTTGATGTATAAGATACATTTTACCTGTAATATTGAGGACCTCATTTGATGTATAAAATACATTTTATCTGTAATATTAAGGACCTCATTTGATGTATAAAATACATTTTATCTGTAATATTAAGGACCTCATTTGATATATAAAGATATTTTACCTGTAATATTAAGGACCTCATTTGATGTATAAACCATATATAATCTGTAATATTAAGGACCTCATTTGATATATAAAAATATTTTACCTGTAATATTAAGGACCTCATTTGATGTATAAACCATATTTTACCTGTAATATTAAGGATCTCGTTTGATGTATCAAGATATTTTACCTGTAATATTAAGGATCTCGTTTGATATATCAAGATATTTTACCTGTAATATTAAGGACCTAATTTGATGTATAAAATACATTTTACCTGTAATATTAAGGACCTCATTTGATATATCAAGATATTTGATATGTAATATTAAGGACCTGATTTGATGTATAAAATACATTTTACCTGTAATATTAAGGACCTCATTTGATGTATAAACTATATTTTACCTGTAATAATAAGGACCTCATTTGATTTATAAACTATATTTTTCCTGTAATATTAAGGATCTCGTTTGATTTATAAACTATATTTTACAGTTAAAATTAGGGACCTCTTTTGATGTATATATTTTACACGCCATTTTGACGTAATAATGTATCTACCCGTAACATAAAGGACCTGAATTTGATGCACAAACAGTAACAGCAGCGTTGTTGCAATGTTGCTAGTTATATGAGAATATTAACAAGTGATATATATTGTCCTAATTTTCATTTCATTTATGTAATATGTAAATCAAATCCAATTTTTTAAAATCGGCACATACATTTCCTTCATTTTCATCGATTTTTAAATCATAAAAAATGAAACATTAATAGAACAATTGCTGTACAAGATATATATAAAGTGTACACGGAAATTACCATAGAAGTACTGTAAAACTGTTTGTGACATGAAAGTTGTAGTGTAGTTGTTTTTTTTTTTAGGATTTTTACTGTTTGAAATAATCGGATTTATAGATCATTTGATACGACTTCATCAAAGGCTGTAATAACGGTACGATATAAAACTATGGAAACGACAATGGGTAGAACACTACTGGGAATATTGGTGTGTGTTTAAATTCCTCTCTCTCTCTCTCTGTCTCTCTCTCTCTGTCTCTCCCTCTCTCTGTCTCTCTCTCTCTTTCTCTCTCATAAATGGAAAAGGAAATAGCGTTTAAATCAATTAGATATTTTTATTTAAAAAAGGAACAAGTATAAAAAAAGAAAAGAAAATAAACCCCAAATACGTTTATGTCATGTTATTGCGTGAGTGAAATCTAATCTAGGTCATTATAAATACATTATTGTATTTTCCAGTGTCCAGACTCATCAACGGCCCAAGCTCATGTGCTATGTCCCCAATGCCGTCTGGAATGAACATGAACCATGTCAATATGTCAGCCCTCAGTGGGTTCGAGCACAGTAAGCCCCAAGGAATCCAGTTCCCCATCACTCAGCGGCGAAAGAGACGCGTGCTTTTCTCACAAGCCCAGGTCTACGAGCTAGAGAGGAGATTTAAACAGCAAAAGTATCTGTCGGCCCCTGAACGTGAACATCTGGCCAGTATGATAAATCTGACTCCAACACAAGTGAAAATTTGGTTCCAGAATCACCGTTACAAGTGCAAACGTCAAATCAAAGACAAAGACAAGCACGACCCCCAGTCTCCCGCCAGCTCCCCCTCTGCGTCATCGCAACAGTCCTCACCCGGACAACAGACTCAGAACTCTCACCCCACCCAGTCCTCACCTAGGCGGGTGGCAGTGCCTGTCTTAATCAAAGACGGCAAGTCGTGTTCCACTTCCGGTGACACGCAAACTTCAACGCACGTTCAGCAGTCGTCACAGCAAAATTCCATGGCAACTTCGCGCGTCAGTGCTTCATCTCAGGTAACAACTTCCGGTGGACATCATTCAACGTCACATCATAGCTCCAGCACTAAATCTCTGCAGAACTCTCATTCCCTAAACACACCACCTTTATCGGCTCACTGTGGCCCGAACTCACACCCAACTCTCAATGGAGGTATTCATCAAAACCTGCATTATCAGCCTTCAGGTATGACTGGAAGTAGTTTGGGCTCATCTCCGTACATTCTAAATGGTAGAACATGGTGACGGAACAATTCGTAATATTTTGGAATGAATTCTTCGTTTCTGATTTAAGAAACTTGACAACAAATAATTACATACTATTTGTGCTATTTCATGGGTTGTCACTGAATTCTCATGGGCTTTTGTAATTTTCATGGTATCACTGGATTCTTCAAAAGTAAAAAAAAACTTCATTTGTGAGATATTCGAATGGTGTACACATGGCAGCTGACAGCGAACAGGAGCTCGTAAACCAGTGTTGTAAACGTGTAAATCCATCGGACCTAGCACAGTCCCTCTAAATAAATTTGCTTTTAGCTAATAAATTCCTGTCAATCTCAATAAACATTTATGGGTGTTATAAATATGTATGGATGTTTGTTAACCAGTGTATAAAACACAGCTCATTCTCAGGTCTATCTACTACTTCCCGTGTATATTGACGGAGAGTACACTGGGAATGGCCCAGTCTCGTCTACTAGATAAATGACAAACTAGAATCGGAATTTTAACGATGGGACTCAACTACGAACAAATATGAATATGTTTACAAATCGACATATTTCCGTTTAAACTGAGAATCGAACACATATATTACAGTTATGTGACACTGGTAGGCCCCCATCCGTACTGGTTCATCTCGAGCCCGTCCATTATTTATCACGTCACCCTGATGTTTGACTGTGACATGATTCAGCAAGGTTGATGAAATGACGTTTAAATCCTCAATACAGCGTATTTTGTAATGATCTTAACTTATAAAAGAAAACGCATTTTCTATTGATGTCTGAATGCATATTGAGCGTCATATTCTATGTATTAATTAAATATTGTAGTTAAACTTAACAAGTCTGTTTGTTATTCATTATCAAATCCATGATTAGCACACAGGATAGATCTACAACCTCTGCACATTTAAGAAAGTAACAGCATATCACTGCTTGCTTAAGGAAAGAAACAGTATATCACTGCCTAAGGAAAGTTACAGTATATCACTGCATGCTTAAGGAAAGTTACAGTATATCACTGCATGCTTAAAGAAAGTAACAGTATATCACTGCATGCTTAAGGAAAGTTACAGTATATCACTGCATGCTTATGGAAAGTTACAGTATATCACTGCATGCTTAAGGAAAGTTACAGTATATCACTGCATGCTTAAGGAAAGTAACAGTATATCACTGCATGCTTAAGGAAAGTAACAGTATATCACTGCATGCTTAAGGAAAGTAACAGTATATCACTGCATGCTTAAGGAAATTAACGAAAATCCTGTTGTTTGGTTTACACAGAGACTTTTTGTGTTACTTTATCTTTGTTTGTCGTATGAGCTGCTGAGTGAATTGAATATAGAATTTCAGATACATTTCTTACAATAATGATAATAAGAAAACCCTTAATATTAAACATCATCCTTCCTTTAGCAGAATGACTGTAGTTTATAACAAAAGATATATTACATAACACCGATACCAAAATCACAATAACGTCACGTAACTATCCACACAGAAAACTACTATAAACATACCGTTTTTACAATGAAATAATTCAATCCTCTATAAAACAAGCATTTTCATTGGTATTTTTATTTTGTTTTCTTCCAAATATGATAAAATTGCCCTCATTTTGTAATATCTCGTTTAATTGGCCAATGCATTGTTTTACGAAATCGCCAAAGAAAAGAGTCCTTTATAAATGCCAAAAATGCTATATTTTTTTAAATAGTAAGAATTATCTTTAAATTATTTTTTAATGTTTTTCTACCCAGAACAAAATAAATAATAATAATAATAAAAAAAAAAAAAAAAAAAAAACAACTGAGTATACACTTGTCATAAATATTTACTTTCTGTGTCATGGCTCAATTACATACACTGATTGAATATCTCAAATTAAACTGGATAGACTGTGTTTTCTGATTAATTCTGACTGGCGTTAGCTCGATTGAGCGCTGTTAAGGTTATTCTATTTGGGTGTCCTGTTTTCTGCTCTTTTTGAAGATGGAATGATTGGTGGGAATATGAAAAAAATGAAAGTGAAATAATTAGAAAGCAATTGATTGTATTATGCTATCCATGTAAAGCATCTTTTTTGTTTCAAGCTTTTAGTAAAACTACCAAAGTTTGTGCCATGGAAATGCCTACCTTCAGATGACTTGACAATGTAAAGCATTGAACTCTTTATCTAATCAGGATTTGTGTTTAATAATTGTGAGCATTGATATTAGTGCGTTTTTCGTAACTATAGTGACAGCGACCTTGTCACACTCTTACTATTGGTCTATAAATTACAGCAAACACACCAGGTTAAACGCTATTTTAATTGAAAATATAATTAAAGTATTGAACTGAATCTAATCCCCAATATCAACTACTCGGGGGATGATGTGAAAATCATCAAATCATGAAACACATTTACATTATGTGTAAGGTGCCGTACGTTTTACAGCATTTACAACATTTTATACATACAAATGTATATGATTTAACCATAATTTACCTCCTGTTTTATTTTTCAAAGGTAATGTTGCTGTGAGACATTTGTAATATGTAAACACAAGTTCTAATTCATTCGAGGTATAACTCACCATTTGATTTGCCCGTGAAAATAATTTGCGACATTAAAATCACGACATACCTTCGCAAATTGCAAACCTGAGCAAGGTTTTTTTCCCTAAATAAATACACAGAAACAGGACATAAATTACTGAATCAATGAGATGGGACCATTTCCCTCCATATATCCCAGTCGTTGTAAGCTTGTCCGTCAGCAGTTGATTGTCACTGAAATTGTCACATTGGGTCAACCTGTTGAACATCGAATCATATGTGGCATGTCAACAACATAGATGGAGGAAACAAAACATTTTACTATTTACAAGGAAAAATTACAATACGGAAAATGAAATCGTGTTGTTAAGCTGTTCTTGTTGATTGTAACCTAAGATTTATGTAAGTGACTGAAGGAGAACCTTTCAGGTCCTTGGTTGAACTTCTTCAGAAAATTTCTGATAAGTTGGACAATTTATTACTTGCTATTTAAAGACATTTTGATATATACATAACGTAATTGAGGACATAGCAAAAACGTTGTTACCAGCTCTGACGTTCTCTTCGACCGTTATAGCCTGGTATGAAAAATACTCAGTAAGCCCAGTGAACAGTTAGTTAACACTGGTATGTTAGTAGTATTGTCGTAGTGTTTACTAGTGTTTTTCGTCCAGTAGAAATCAGAGCTGTATACGTGAGTGACCGGAATTGTTTCCTTTTTTCAAACCTTGCTCTCTCAACACTATGATGAAGACGTTTTCTACTTTGACGGTATATTGTATAGAAAGTTTTCATAGAAGATACTTCTGCCTCTTTTACGAGTGGATGCTCAAAATTAAGCAAATCTCATCATATATGTACACTTCATACGATTTCCTTTCTGGAAAACATTTACACAGTATCACAGTTATGCTGAAACTTTGATAGTACTACTGACGATAGAAAGACACTTGGGTCGGTGTTGATAAAGCAGCTACCAGCGATAAAATGTTGTCATTATATTCTTGCTCAGCTTAGGAGTTCATTACTTACATTACTTACTTGGATTGACCAAGGTTTACACGACAGGTGACGTCGATGAAACAGAAGATGCTCACTCTACAGGCACACCTGGTCTTATTGCCCAAGAGTCTCTGTATACATCTTTCTTTGTTCATATTTTGCCTATAGTTTCATTGAATTTGAGATTGGATTATTATTATGTTGGTATGTTCTTGTTTTTTAGGACATACAATCGATATTAAAGAACACTAAAAGGTAAGAAATAAGTGTTTTTAGTAATTTGTATGTAAAACAGCTTCCTCAAGTCAATAATATCAAAGGAAGGCTATATCATAAGGGCGCACTGTTTTTATTTATTTTAAAGTTCACCTTATCTAAGCTATCTTTAACTAATAATAAACCAAATACAGAAATGGCAGGAGGTGGGTAGGGATGTATTTACCCGGACAGATAAAACAATAGTATTCACACGGAGCGGATTTAGACGGGATACGACTTTGGCCGAACGGAATGGAGGGCAAAGTTTATCTTAGCAGACGGTAGAGCGTGTACGAGCGGGAAAGTCTGATGATCCCGCCAGCCAACTATTATGGCAGAAGTCAGTACACGGGGGGATCAGTGGGCAGAATACCTAATCCCTACTGTCACTGTAATCGTTTTATTTGCACCCAAAATGTCTCTCAGTTTTATCCGCGCATATGAAATTTCATAGACTGTCAACGGTATAATTCCATTACCATAATCTTAAATAAACTTATTTATACAACAACGATATCCAGCGGTACTCGAGGTAGATTCGTGTAAATCTCCAAAAGCCTGCGGACGATAAGTAATAGCTCCACCAATAACGGTCGCGTGTTGCCTTGTCCGCCATGCTGCCTGAAGACTGTTACCTAGAGTGGATGAAGTCGTGATTACGACTTGTTTACAATAATAATGTAAGATCGCTGTTTGTTGTGTCCGGTTGTCTGTGAGTCGAGAGGTAGGGTGGGGGACTGTGATATAACTATACACCATGAGTCTCCCAAATTGCATGTACACACCAAGTACACCATTCTCAGGAAATGTATCGCCTTAAAGTTTTTAATGTTGTAGAGATATTACCCATTCTTACCATATCCACTTCAATAGGGAACCCTTTCAGACCATTCCCGATTATGTCTGTTTCAAATTTTCCACACGATTCAAACATCACGGAATCACGTTCGTATCCACAGCAACTGTTCCTCATGTTTTCAGTTCACAAATTTAGTATTTCATTTTCAATTTTATGCCTAGATATATTGAAGCACCAATTCAAAGTTTTTAATTGCTGCCTTAAAGACATGCGGGTCATTTCATTCTTCGTTAGGTCTTTAAGAACATAAGTACATGGCATAAGGCTGTCTCCTTATACGTGAAGTAGATCATTGAAACGTTCCAAAAAGTCGATTCCAACACAAATACAGTTCTTGAAAAAGATGTTTGTATTTA